CTCTCATTGGAAGATGAGCGGTTTCGCATATAGCGAGTCTAGGACCAGGGTTGCTTCCACTCACTTGCTATAAAAATGTTTTTTGGAATTATGAAATCATTAGATATTATTATGAGAATTAATTTCTTGTATGTTACAAGAAAAGGTTGTACGTTACAAGAAAAGGTTATAATATAATTTCTTTCAGTATGTCACAATAACCGATTTTACGATTAATGAACGCTTACTCTGAGTGAACGCTCACGAGTCATAAATTCGCTAATTGTGACGCACTGAAAGTGAAATTGTGAAAGTGAGAAATGTTCAATGTGTTATAAAATTGAGGCAACAGGATAAAATCAAAACATTGGGAAATATAACGCACCACTTTCAGAAATACTTCACTTCGCAACCGATGAACCATTTTGAGGGCCATATGAGTGCCCAACTAACCATATAGTCGAAATATAGCTTGTATATAGTTACTTTGCTTGAGTATGGTTAGTCGGGGAATCCGATGAAACTGTCACTTCTTGAAACTACAGTCAGGAATCCTTATTGCCGGATTCCTTATTGCCGGTATCCCTTATTGCCGGATCCTTATTGCCGGGCTATCCGCGAATAAGGATACCTACAGCTTATGGGATTTTCACTAATGGGGGCTGTAGTGGATTATCTCATTTGTTTGAATACATAAAGCTATACTGTCTCCGACAAAGTTGCTGTACTGGGTTAGACCAACAAGCCTGTGCCATTGAATTCAGGTTAAATTGGGAACTACGCCGCTAGAGGCGCTTCACTTTTATGTTACTTATGACGGGCGCTATAATATATGGATCATATTTCCAACATAGAATATTTCGTGATCCTGGCCATATAGAAAGTTACTGTCTTCAGCAAAGTTGTTCAGGTGACCAAGTCCTTTTGGATGGTGGCCATATTAGTTCCGAACTCTTTCACTACGCAGCGCTAGTGTGTATGTGCAATTTCTATATAAACTGTATCTCGAGAGCCTGGCCATAAAGAAAGTTGCTGTTTTCAGCAAAGTTGTGCAGGTGATCAAGTCCTTTCGGATGATGGTCATATTAGTTCAGAACACGCTCACTACGTGGCGCTAGTGTGCATGTGAAATTCCTATATAAACTGTATCTCGAGAGCCTGGCCATATAGAAAGTTGCTGTTTACAGCAAAGTTGTGCAGGTGATCAAGTCCTTTCGGATGATGGTCATATTAGTTCAGAACACGCTCACTACGCAGCGCTAGTGTGCACATGAACTTCCTTAATATGTTATGTCTCGAAAGTTTGTCCATATAAGATGTTGCTGTGCAATGTGAGAACAGGAACCGGAAAAGGGATGACGTGTAGAGGCCGGAAATCGATGTCAGATGCCATTTTGGAATCCAAGATGGCGGCCATCGGTTCAAGAATAACGGTCAAATACCCTACAATATGGATATTTTTGGAAAGGGGACGACGTGTAGAGGTCGGAAATCGATGCCAGACGTCATTTTGGAATCAAGATTGGAATCGAAGACAGTATAGACAGTATAGCTTTATGTATTCAAACAAATGAGATAATCCACTACAGCCCCCATTAGTGAAAATCTCATAAGCTGTGGGTATCCTTATTCGCGGTTCCTTATTCACGCCCCCGTTACCCCGGCAATAAGGATATAACAGGTAATTGATATTAGATATTTTTGCAGCCAGTGATAAATGGCGGGCATGAAGATCCAGTGGAGGTGCCAAGCAAAGATGTTATATTCTAGACAAATGGTAAGTTCCATGTTCACTGTTGTCGTAATGGTAGTCATCGTTGGCAGTACCACTAGTATGTTTAAAATTGGCCATCAACCGCCGAAACTATATGAATTATCGCGTATCTCTGTTGTTCATTACATACCAAGCGGAAACTTAATCATATTTTGTCGTGCAGTGTTGTGGTTTTGAGATGCTCGATTACTCTGAAGGGATCGTTTTTGCTTACTGAGCAGAAAATCATGGGTAGTATTATAATCTTATATTATACATATTTTGGATTTGGATGAGGAGACTGAAAATTCCAATTCCCCTTTGTTAACATTTCGTGTATTGAAGGTGGTTTCTTCTCCCCACTCATTTGGACATCCCCTCTAATGATGGCTTGTTCTCTATCGGGTTGGAACATTTTTATCATTGGAAAGAGATTCTTCTTGCTCCCTTGGATCACGCGTGAGTATCTCTGCTTACAGATCCACCCTCCGTTTTTGGAGCTTCATACAATGGTATATTGAATACAACCAGGTATCGTACTTGATCAAGTCATAAGAGGTAGACAGTCCACTGTCTAATAGCTGGGCCCTGCAACAATGATTGGTATCCTTTACATACATACAATAGTTAGGCGGTATCTTTTAAAGGACAGAGCAAACACGCTGATCTCAGGCTGATCACCGAAGAATGTAAGATTTGCTTACAGTACATGCAGAGATTGTAATGTTTCAATAGAAGTTTTTTTAAAAATAATTATGCTATTTTTTTTCCAGAGGTGTTGGCACCCCTCACCATCCCTCTCTAAAGGGGGAGTTTGGTAAAGAGAGATGATAAAACTGATTTGTACCTTCCTTAAAAGTTGTCTAGCTCACTTTCTACTTCTATATGCAATTTTCACACTGCCGTACTCTAAACGGAACTATCAATTCTATACTTTCATCTCCTCATCTATAGTATAAAAATTACCACATTAGTCTGTTATTTGAAAGTAGCATTTTCAACTATAATTCTGCTATGTTTATATTCGCTAAATTTTCGAACTAAATGTGTTTCCTGAGGCTAGAAAATTATCTCGTGAAAGTTTTATGCGAAAATATTCATTCTGAAAAAGATGCAGGGATGTAAGAAATCCACCCTTACATTTGATCTTCATACCATTTATTTTGCGTGGCAGCACAATGATACTCTATGCCCAGGGAAGTCGTACCCTAAAGATTTTCTTGACCAGACTGGGCTTGGTAATATCACCGTGCCTTTACTAACTAGGTTATCTCGAGCCCAACGAAATTCCTAAAGCTCACGAATCCGGGAGTCTTGTTTTTTTTAATCAAGATCAAGTCTCCACAAGTTTTTTTTCAGAAGCAATGCGTGCACCGGAGGAGGTGTTAAGTGTAACAAAAACTATGACTAGCCTACTATACTTTGCAGTACATCACACGCTAAAATGCATTTTACGTATTTAAGTAAGACGATCTCCTAAACACGATTCCAAACTCCGGTGTCATGATATTAGTGAGCGGGTGTAAAATTATACTTAGGCGGAAGTACCCCGGTGGGATCGAGTTTCTCAAAATTCCCGATTAAGATGCAGGCTGGTTTCTTAGTTTTTTGTTTTCGGGAAGCTTCTTCGTAAAGAATCTAATCGATCGGCAACCGCAAGCTTGATTGACAGTTGCATGTGTAGGAAGCGTATTTTTTAAGCGAGTGCCGAATTAAAGGTTATGAAACGTGATTTTTTCCCCATTTCTAGAGGAAGCTGCAGACTAAGTAATTAGTTGCCTACACACTGCTGTTGGAGATCGATCCGAATCCGAAGGGCCTCTTGAGAGGAATAGATTCATCTCTAGCACCACACCGCGATCGTTTCAAATCGCGATCGTCAAACCGCATCGAAACAAAGCGTGTGCGGAACAGCAGAAGAAGAAACAGAAGATGGTAATTTCCTGGATCGAAGAAGGCGACGATCTTTCAAGGAAGACTAGTTTTTCGCTCGCCTCGACTGACGCTGATCATTAGTGCCATGGAGAAAGGGAAACTGTGAGGGAAGTAGAAGATCCAGTTTAGCATACGGTGTGTATTAATCAGCATGCATGGATATGAGACAGCTGTTTTCCGTCGTGCTCTTCTTGCATGGTTTTGTGGAATTTGTAAGGTTTCTCCCACCGGTGAAGAAATCGAAAGTGGTTGGAAGGGGAGACGGGGCGAAATGTCAGATCAATCAACGAGTCATAAATGAAGACGACCGCTGCCGTCGGCACAGCCGGGAAGCAAATAATCGATCGATAATTAGACGGCGAGAACATTCGGATTACTCAATTCTAGCGTGACTTTTGACAGATACGGATTATGCCGGTATAGGATGACGCATATACGTGTTAAGCGCGGTAGCCGTTGTTATTGAGAGGTGATAATTGAATGGTAAATTAGCGCTCATGGAAGATGCAGTAATTGATTTTAATGTGTTCAAATGAAGATCACAGCTGTCACCTGTGCTCTGACAAACAATGTAAACAAGTCACGGTCAACCGAGGTTAATCGAGAATTTTGTCATGTTTTGGAAAGTGAAGGTCCATAAAGCCATTTTTGGACTGAATGTTCATCATAATTTATGATGCAACGTTTACTAATCGTTTTTGTGGTCGACGGCAGTGGTGGTGGTGGCGGCGGTGAGAATGTTGAACAACATTTGCGTCTACAACCTTGATATTTAAAGATCACCCGCGCGCGCTGGAGGACGACTTGGAACATGTTGAGTGAGAGCCGCGCGTGTTCTACAACCACTCACCGTGGTGGTTGTTGATGGATCTTCTTTTGCACCTTTTTAGAGAGCATCCGTTCATCGTCGTCGTCGTTGTCGTGATCGTGATCGCGATGCCACGGTGCGAGGATGCGCCATCATTTTTTACCACCACTACCGTCGTTGAATTACTTTATTAGTTCGAGCATTGAGGTTTGATCGTAAAACTTGGTAAAACGGTGCGCGATCATGCTCTTTATTGCTCATACCCAACCAACCACCACTTGGAACATGGAGATCAGTCGTGATGACTTTCGGTTGGTTGGTTGAAATGTATTAACTGAAACTGACATTTGTAAGGTTTCGAAGAAGATCTAGTGCCGCGTCAGCACCAAGCGCTCGAGACCATGATAGTAGGCCTTGATCTTAATCTGGTACCTCTTCCCGTACTATACAATGGCGATTGTTGTTGATGTTGTTGATCAGCTACCTCACTACCAGAGTTGCACACAGGTGCAGAAGAAAACCTACCTGTCCTACGTGTCGTTTGACTTCGTCTGTCTTGTGATCTCGCATCGGGTTGTCGAAGCCGCATAAACCGATCCTGAATCAGGGAAGGAAAAAGATGCACATTAGTAAATATACCTGGATCTGTTGTGATGTTATTTTTCTTTGAGGGGTTAAATCGATCTGCTTTCGACATCGAAGCGATGAGTCAGCGAAGAGGCAATTGTTCACATTACGGAATGACAGGCGTTGCATCAACTTTTAAGTGAATGTTTTGCAAAATGAAGATCTTCCATTATGTTCTCCCTGGTTTTCGCTGAGTAATCAAACATTTCGTGTTGAATTCAGTTTGTTGCCCTTGTCGAAGAAGGGCAATGATTAATTCCCGTCAATTTGTATATTTAAACAAGTAGGCAGTTATAATTTAAAACAGCACAACGAGATGTTAGCAAATGGGTGTGAAACAATGATAAATTAGTTCACAAATTGTTTTTGTTTATTTTTTTTGTGACTCCCGTTCTCCGTCTCATAAAAGTGCAACTCAACGTAAACAAAGTAGCCCGCATTACCATGGTATAATGATCATTAGCGTTGACTTTTGGTCTTGAGAGAAGAAACAGCGCGACGCCTACTATGGTCTCTGATAATCTAGTACCGTCTGTCAACCATGTAAGCTCAGTTTCGTTCTATCCGCGGCCTATGTATTAAAATTTTAATAGGCTAATGGCTAATGTGTCTACCCATTGCATGCATGTTCCCAAACTCGGCACGTAAGCGCATTTGCGTAGAAAATTTCTGCAGCGCAGCAACGACGATGGTGGCCCAACCCTAAAAACAAACCGCGCAGCGCTTTAAAGCACTTAAAGCTATGGTTTAGTTACAGTTTATTTTTTTTGTGAAAGTGAATTACCTAAGGCAACCCTTGGCTAACGAATAAACCAAGAGTTTCATTGTGGACATGAATATTAATTTGTTCGACACTGGAATGGCGATCACAGCGGAGGGTATGCCACGGTTCTGACAACTGCCGACTGCCACGGCGGCGCGTCGAAATTGTATCCCGTGCGCGTCAGAATGCGGTACTGTAGCGGTTTCTTGGAGCCTCTCAAACCCCGAATGATCGAGAGGTGATTCATTCGGAAACTATTTGCGGTCTCTGATCAGGATTGTGAAATTTTACCGTTCTCTCGGGCTGGGTGGTAGACCTTATTAAAGCTGCTGAAATGGTAATGGGTACGGATGTTGAGAATTGGCGTACACGACAATTAGCCAGAAGCATGCAAATATTGGAGGAGGGGTTTGAAAACCCAGTCACAATTTAATTTTACAACACCCAAACGAGCTTTGCTATTATTATAGGAAATTCACTCCACGCTTTGGAGAAAATTGTCCTTATTTCCGAAATGATTTAAAGTTCAGGAAAGAACTAGTTTGAATGCCCCCATATAAATACAATAATCGTTATGATGGTGTATATTGTGGTACCATTCAGTGTTTAAAATGGCAGCCCTACTTTTGCTCAATAAAACAGATGAAATTATCCTTAATAAGTAAAAAATATCTCCTTAAAATAGATCGGGTTGCTCCTTAAATGATTGATCAAAATAAGTTAAAAATCTTAAAATGCTCAGTAAATATTTAAAGTACGCTCCCTAAAATTGAGAAAATAGTACATTAAACATTTGAAAATGCTCCTTAGTATGCACCGCTTTGCACCATTTTGAAGTATAATTTTACCATATATCATCGGAAAAGCTGCTGTAGAAAGGTTAATAAGTACCATGAAATCAGCTGAAATGTTCAGTAAATCATTGCGTGCATTTGTGCATTTTTACTGAACATTTCAGCTGATTTCATGGTACTTATTAACCTTTCTACAGCAGCTTTTTCGATGATATATGGTACAATTACACTTCAAAATAGTGCAAAGCGGTGCATACTAAGGAACATTTTCAAATGCTTAATGTACAGTTTTCTCTATTTTAGGGAGCGTACTTTAAATATTTACTGAGCATTTTAAGATTTTTAACGTATTTTGATTAATCATTTAAGAAGCAACCCGATCTATTTTAAGGAGATTTTTTTTACTTATTAAGGAACATCGTCATTGTTTAATGATTCATTTACCTTTTTACCGTTTAAAATCTAGTAGGAAGTTTCCGCCAAACAAAACAAAAGAGCAAAGTTCTCTCAGTTTAAAATTACCCACAATTTCGATTGCATGCCGACTTGGATCTGGCGGTGCTGCAAAAACAGAACTCATAGGTATCAACAGTCTATGTGAAGCTATTATAGACCGACTCTTGGAACCAATTGTTTCTCACTTCTTGCCACTAGGTGTTTTAATACATGCCGTAAGAACCGTTGCCAACCAACCCACCAGCCGCCGCACACTTTGATTCTTTGTTTTTTTGTTGTAGTTTTCGCTTTCAGTACCAGAGCTCGTGCTCGCGATCTCGATTACGAGCAAGGTCGTCTAGTTTTACGGATTATTATTTCCATTCGCTCTCGTATGTATGCAGTCACGAGGTGGCAGGAACTGAAAAAATAAAAAAAAAGCCGTTCACTCAGCAGCGCCGCCGCTAAATGACAACGCCCCGAAATAACTCCGCTCCTCTGCTCGGCTTGGACGTAAATTACTCGATACAAAATGGCGGCGGCGTCGCGATCTGTCAAAATTAAGACCATCGTTGTGCGCAGATTTCAGAATGTTGTCACCGCAATTTGCGCGACAGTTGCAACCAGCGCGCATTTATCGCTTGCACAACATGACAGCTGTCACTCGGCGCTCGACGAGTGCAAGTTCCCTTTCCAAAATCCGATTGGATGATGATGGAAGAGCGATCGTGATTTTCGAAAGTTTTCTATTTGAATTGGAGATCTTCTTCTTCACCGAAGCTGTCAACGCCTGAGCGGATTTGAATGGGGATCGATTCCATCAACCCTGGAACTGGAGCGGATCGATCGCGTTTGGTTTAATTAATGCCAATTAACATTGGAACGAGTGTGATTTATGTCGGTTTTCGCTCTAGATTTCTCTCGAGGGTTGATCTCTCGCGATCTGCGAGGGAGCGGTTTCATTACAATGCCCAGATTTTATTTATGCGCGAACCGCGCTCTCGGATACCGGTCTTCGTATCGCGTTTGACAAAACTTGCGACCGTTTTTACACCACTAGAATCACCGTAGAGAACGTGGTCGACTTAATTGTCTAAGGATTCGAAGGTTTTCACTTTGATCCGGATCGAAGAAGAAGTTGTAAAAATGTGCTGACTCACACAGACATCGAGGCAAGCCATTCTCAATGTCAACCCTGCTGCTGCTGTTGCTGCCAAGTAACAATCAACAGCTGCTATGATTTTTTTCGTTGTTGACAGGCAGCGCGCATGCTTCGATCAACCGAGGATGTTGGTACAGCACCAATCGAGTAGAGTCAAATTATTGTACACGGCGATTATTTTGCTGCTGCGACGACGATGAATAATTAGATTAATTTTTCGTGGGTCCCTTTGAGACACTAGGTATATATGGACGCACAGCACGAGAGAGACAAATTGCATAATTTTGGCAGATGCGTGCTGTTTTTGTTTACGGTTACAAAGCCATTACGGTATATGGTTGTAGACATCCTTCGAACGGAAGTCGATTGAAATTGCCCGAATGTCCCGTATAATGAATATTATTTAATTTCAGAGGACGACGCAATTAAAGTTTTGTTCGATGATAATGATTTCGTTTAATTGCAATAATTTTGTAATTATCATGGGTACGGAAGTTCTGCACGGATGGAGGATTGCCTTCGCATGCAACGGTGGCTGAGGGCAATGCTTTATCGTATGAGGAAAATTACAAACCGATTTCTCTTACAATGATCTATAATGTTATCTCAGTTTGACATTTTATTCAATGCTGATACATTTTTTTTTGTTTAATGGCATTTGGGGAAGTATGCATCGAAAGTTCAGTAAAAAAACAAATTCACACCATTCTTTTATTATGTAATGGGGCAACGATTTTATCAATAATGTTTTTGGTTGGCTGGCTTCATAAATCTCAACCAAATTATCATAAAAGAACATTTAAAATATTAAATAAAGATGTATGCATGCATAATAAAAATCTAAATAGCATAATATTCCATTATTTTATAAATTTGCCCGAATGAAATTTAATTTCAATGATTTTCTGTGCTTAAAAATCTCAAACGATGTCGAAGATCTTGTGTACATTGAAATATAAAGCTACATGAATGCACAAGCCACCGTTATCTGTCAAATAGATGGATCAATTAATGTAAATTGTAATTTGGGTTTCGCACTATTTCGTCCCAATTGATGTCATACCCCTAAAATCAACCATTCCAACGTCTAGTGCAAATAAGATTTTTTTTCACTAATTGCAGTTTAACTTGAAAGCAGTGAAAGTTATGCGTTTTGTTTTCATTCTTTTAAACGCATATGACCAAAATTGACTCCGTACGACGAAATAGCGGTGTTCCGGGCAAACTGCAACTGTCTTAACTTCCAAAAGAACCTCAACCATAATAGAGTCATCGACCGTTTTCGGCTGGCAAGTTAAGTACGAAGCAATTTACGAAACCATTTTTATTGTTTTCCTGCATGTTTACCTGATGGATTGCCATTCACCGTAAACCCACAAGATTCATTCTCAATCTCACTCCTTAAATGTCAATGCCACCCCTGCGAGTACCACCGTTAGCTTTTAATAGCTGTGGTTAGACCGGTCGCCATGATGTCAGAGAGCGTAGATCGTTCATCTCAGGACTCCATTAAATTCGCAGTAAAGGCGCGGTTGCTTTGCCAAAAAATAATACGTTCAATTCCGGGTTCGTTTGCTTGTATCCCGGTAACAAAATCCAAGCCTACTAGAACCTAACCCACGACCACCCCATCGCGCACTCGTTCCAAACGGGTGTTAATTGTCTTGTTATAAGGCCGAACTCTGAACCGCTATGCATTGCTTCAAGGTCTTCCGCTTGACGGGCGGCGGCAGTAAAGTAGTAGGTAGTGATCGAGCAAGCAAATTAGAGCTGGCTGTCTAGAGAATTTCCGATCAATAAAACGGGCAGGGGTGTGG